TTGAACTGAAATGCACTGAACTGGTAATATGCTCAGGCACTATTCTTAGGGTACAGAGTTGAAAGGATTTAGCCATTCTCTGTAAGAAGGTCACAGTCTAGTCCCGTGATGGCGAAAACCTTTTAGACCTTTCAATGGTACACGTAGGTTTGCCACCTCTGGTGTAGTCCATAGGAAGGGAGAAATTCAAATAGACCTTATAATACAGTGAGCTAAGTATATTGATCTAAGTGTGTACAGGACACATTTGGACCTGGAGGAAAAACCTCTGCTCGAGGTAATGGGGAAATCTTCACAGAGCAGAACACTTAAAGGCTAAGCAAAAAGTTGCCTATAAGTAGACAGTACTTAAGAAACAGAATTATTTTATAGAACTTTTTTCCACTCAGAAAACTGAGTTATACAAGGTTATTATTATGTAAGAACCTTGCATAAATAACTCTAAGACCTTCTTTGAATGAGTATAGAATATTTATTCTAAGTATTGTAGTTGTTACTATAATAGTGTTATATATTAAATTATCCCAAACCTCTATAGTTTAAAAGAATAGCAGTTTATTACTTTTGTAGACTCTAAGGGCTATTAAGCAGTTCTGGTCTGGCCAGATTTCACCAATTCTGGTTGGACTCATGCATCTGTAATCAGTTGGTGGGCAGACTGGTTTTAGGGTGCCATTGGCTAAATAATCTCAGTTCTGGAGTTGATGTGTCTCTCCCCTCCCTCTAGGAGGCTAGTTTAGACATGTTCCCATGTCCACAATAGGGTCAAGCCAGGAAGTGGAAACATGCAAATGCTTGCTTCATGCTTGCTAATGTCCCCTGAACGGAAGCAAATCACATGGCCAATCCAGAGTTAGTATGCTCGAAACAGATAGAAAGATATGTGAAAATTTGAGACCACCCCTGCAGCCAGTCACCACCCCAGGCACATACTCCATTCTAGATTGTCTTCCAGCCCTTGTGTTACTTTGCAGTGAATTTGCTTTCAGCTGACTGCTGTGTGGTGATAACGAGCAAACTTCTCTGAGCATTCTAGACTGGTTAATCTCATTTCAGTTTTGGGTGTTCATTTTTATGGAGCTATTGAAATAACATCATTTTGAGAGGCTGAAGAAATTTAAAAATCACTTGTTTATTGATATCCAGGACATGATAGTAGGTACCTTTAGATATTTCAGCCACCTGTGCTTTTTGGTGCTTTTGTTTGTTTGTGTTTTGTTTTTTGAGACAGCATCTCTGTCTCTATATAGTTCAGGCTGATCTTGAACCCCCCATGTAGCCCAGCCTGGCCTCATACTTATGGTGATCCTCCTGCCTCAGCCTCCCGAGTGCTGAGATTACAGGCATCAGCCACCACGCCCATCTTCAGACTTTTAATTTTCACAAGATTTGTATGATTAATGTTTGTTCAGTTTTCATCATTGTCATCTTTGGTGAGAATGAGAGGTTGCTGGAGTGGACAGTCATAGAAGGCAGGAGATAGAAAAAGAATTGAAACAAGTAGACAGATGGAGAAGTGTTACAAAGGCACTCAGCTGAAAGAATAGGTAACAGGCTGAAAGAATGAAAGAAAACTGCAGAACAAAACCTGTGAAGTAGAGGCTAGACTGGCAGAATCTGCCTCTCAAGCATGCTCATAGGCTCTTCCCCTAGAAAGGTCAGTGTGGTGAGTTACCTCACTTTGATTCCACTCCATCTCTCTTTCTCCGCCAAGTTTGCCCCTGGGTTCCCTGCTTCCTGGTGTAGACAGAAGGGCTTCTGCCTCTTCTGTAAAACCAGTAGGGATAGGGAAGGAGACTGTTTACTGAAAGTGGCTACCTGAAGAAAGACTTCAGAATCAAAGATATTTTGGGGAAGGTAACATTAACCTCAAGAACTTTTATTTTCACTATGTAAGGTGCTGGTGTAAAGAATAGACTGTTCAGAATGATTTTCTGTGGACATAATTAATACAAGGGCTGCAGTCAGAAAAATAATCCAGTGGAGTGTTATGGAAGGGCATTAGTGGAGCAGTACAGGGTGTAGCTCTGGCTCTGCCCTTGCTCACTTGTACTCCTGGCTCTCCAGCTGGATAGTGAAAGCTTTGGGATTTTACATCCCCAAGAGAATGTAATCCTGTCATCCTCCAGCAAGCTGTGTCTTTGGGTCTCTGAAATGTGGTACATCCTCACCTCTATAACTCTAGGGTTTTGACCTATTTTTCAAGGCGAATGGTGTGAGAGAGGCACAGTTGGTGTGATACTAGTAAGCAGAAGGTCGAAAAAAGCCCCAAACAAATTAATATAAACCTTCAGTTACTTCCTGCTTTTGCCACCAGAGGGCTGTCCGACATTCGAAAGACTTGACTGAGACTACAGGGTTGGCAATTTAGCAAAGAAATGAAGTAAATACTGTAACTCATTATATATCTCATTACAGATATAAACTCATTAAGATATAACTACATACGCATATCTTAAACCCTGCCAACTAATTAACAATAGTTTAACCTGAAAAGATACAGTTTCTTACAGTAAATTTAGGAATTTTTCATCAAAGCAGGGGATATGATCAGTCTATGAAATCACAACAGGTCAAATCGTGATGGGTATACCAGAGAAAAATTGAATTCATCAGTTGTCAGTATACTAGTGTGAACATTCTTTTAAACCTTAAACTGTAAAATGTAAAAGTGGTCTTTACTAACACTGAAGGTACCTCCAAGTAAAAACACAAATTTTTTTTTTAGTTCAACAAATTGAGGTAAAGTTGTGCATAAAAGGTTTATCAGTAAATATTAAAATAAAGGAGAGATGCTTGGGGACATCTCTGAACTCTGGATGTGACATCAAAGGAACAAGCTCTTTCCTTTTTCTTCAGCCTGACAGATAACAAATATTTTTAGGCTTGTAGACTGTAATGTCTATCTACTGGACTGTTATAGCATGTATAGTGTGAAGTAGATATAATAAACAAATGGGTTTGGCTCATTTCAATAAAGTTTTATTTATAAAAACAGGTGCTAGGCAAGATTTGGCCTATGTGCACAGTTTATCCTGATTATGAGTGAATGAAAGAGTCCACAGGTGCTTCCCTTTCTAGGCCTTAGTCTTAGACTTGTCAGATAAGGAAGTTGAGTTAGATGATCTCTCATATTTTTCAGGTTTTGTTTCCTTTAATATGTGTCTTAAGCTAAATGATCCACCAGAGAGTCACATTTCTTTCTCTCTTTGTAAGTTCAAATCTTTAAAATCCAGCTTGAATAAATTTGTCAGTCCCTAGGGCAGAGGTTCTTAGTGGCAAGTTAACATTTTAGACTTGGCAATGTTGACACTCTGGCCCCGTTGACACTGTCTAGATGCTCCTTTGTATGGAGGGCCAGGGAGAGATATAGGATTGTGTATGCTAATCACACACATTCTCCACTTTTGATAACCAGCAGTGTCTTTAGGCATTGCCAATGTCCTCTGGGAAACAAAATCACCCATGGTTGAGGGCCACTGCCCTAGGGACTTTCTAAGTAGCTAGAAGAATCACAAAACCAGACCATGTACCCCAGGACAGCCAGCAAAATAATAAATATACTCCTTCAGGCACAAAATCAGAAAAGTCAAAGCCAAAAGGAACAGCTAGCTTATCAGAAGGAGGTCAGTTAGAATCACATTCATCTGTTAAAATTGGTAGGAAGTTGTTATTTAATATTAATTTAGATGATTTATAAATGTTCCTAGATCCAATGACTCTCAATAGAAAATGTCTATAAATGGGTAGCTGAAAAGTCAAACTAAAACAAGGAAACATGGGTGAAGAGTAATATAAACAAGATCACTGTTAAATAACACTATTTACTTTTTTACTTCAATTGCTTGACAATCTCTAGCAGAAAAGAGTTTAGTCTAGATGAGTTCATTAGTCTTTATGCAGCTCAGGGATTTTTGTTTTGTTTTTTAAATTTTGTTTTGCTTTAAGTGAATCAATCAAGTGTGGCTTTATATCTACAGTGGAATACTATTTAGTGGAGAAAATGAACTCAGTACAGCTCTTTCAGCTACATAGATGAATCACTAAAGTTAGGTTTTCAGTGTTAGTAAAGTTGGTTCTTTAGATCACATGGCTACTTTGGGGATTGCCAAAATCATCTTGATTCATTACAATAAAAGTGCGTTTGATTTCCATACATCTTTTTTATGCCCATATTACCTCCTTTAAAAATCCATTCTCTATCAATTATTAATGGTAATTATTAATAGTGACATAACCTGAATATGTAGGTGGCTTTGGACAAAGAGTTTTTTCACTTTCAGATTGTTTTCCTTCTAGTGACTTTAATACAGGGTGATGCATAATCTGACTCTAGAAACTAATTCTAGTCTCAGGCTGTGCTTTTGACTTGTTCATGGTCAGGGATGGGTCTCTTTACCCTGCTGAGAAAGTGGTTTCTTCATTTGTAAAATGGTAGGGAGATTCCAAAACTCTGGTCTGAGGAAGCCTGAAAAAGAACCATCTTTGAAGGCTTGTTTGAACTTTAGGTTTCTGCATCCCCACCCCAGATTCTGACCCTTTTTAGTCTAGGAAAGACAGGAAAAGTCAGGAGACTCCAGTGCACAGCCATGTTTCAGAACCATTAGAGATGAACTCTAACGTCCTTTCAGCTTTAAAGTGCAGTAATTGTGTATATATATTTCCTTAAATGTCCTTGATTAGAATGCTTTCTGGAAAATGTCATATAAGAAATGAAGGAAAGTAATAATTGTAGTACATACATTGATAAAGCTAACATAAATTTTGTTTGCTATAAGATGGTGAGCTTATAGCTCATGAAAATTATGATCCCCCATATGTGTTAGAAGATGTTTTTCCTTTTTGCCTGGTGGTCATTTTATAACTTTTGCATTTTTAGTCAACTTCCAGAAGAAATATAGTTTGATATTCTGATTTCCATATAGCCATAAAATGGAATAAAATTAGAAATTCTGTCTGGTTGTTAATTTCTGTTTATTTGTTTTTTCTTTAATTTGCAGAATGCTCTTTTCAGTTGCATTAGCAGGAATGAAAGTAAGTATATTGCTGGTAGTTACACAAAGAGCAACACGGTTTACAGAACCTGAATAGCTGTTACAAATACTGCCAAGACGCTGGCATTATATCTTAAGCTGTTTAGCCATCTGAGGGAATGTGCACAGCAAGATTCTGCTGAGCTCTTTCCTCTGGAGTGTCTAAGTCATTCATGTATTATAACAGTTCCTACTCTTAATTGCAGATTTACAAAGGAGACACTCAAGTCTAGATGTGCTAGAGGAAGATAACACAGTAATAATAGGATCACTTTCAGAGGTTAAGCACATCGGCATTATATAATGTAGCACCTGCCTCTCAATTCATTTAGAAGACATTTATTGAGTATTTACTTGTTGTAGGACAGACACACAGTTATGGGGAGCATGACCTGTACTCTTAAGAACTCTGCGGCATGGTAGATTATGAAGTAGCACACTGAGACAGTTCAGAAGAAGGAGGAATCACTTTCTGCAAGGGTGCTTACAGGTGACTTCCCGGAGTTGGTGACTCAGTTTGGCCTTGAAGGGTAGACTGGATGTTAACAGTGGAGATTGGAGGAGAGGCACTCTGAGTAAAAGGAATAGTGAGAGCATTTAGAGATGGGAAAATACAACTGAGGAACAAATAGGTTGGCGGGTGGCATATATCAAAGGGCAATAAGAAGTATTAGCTGTCTATATCTTTATCCTTTCAAACTGGGACATAGTTCAAGATTTTTGGATAGTCTGGTAAGTAATTTCATGTCCTCCTACACTGGTAAGGAAGCTAGCCTAATGAGGTGATAAAAAGATAGATATGTCCTTTTCTACTTATCTCTTCTGTCCTCACCATACTCCACTACCACTACTACTCTATCCTCATAGAGGTTTGCAGTAATAAATGAAGTCCTAAATAATTGTTCTTTATGGGACAGGGGATATACCTTAGTGGTAGACTGCTTGCTTAGCATGTGCAAGGCACTAGATTTGATTCCTGGCACTACATACAAAAAATAATAAATGTTTTGTGATTAAACACTCTTTGGGGGCCAGGAATTTAGCTCAGTAGTGCTGCCACCTGCCTTGCAAGCACAAGGTCCCAAGTTTGATCCCCAGTACCCCCCAAAAAATTTCTTTGGAAGTGGGCACAATAGGTTAGGTAGTTCTTGCAAGTTAAAACAAGTGACACAATAGATATGGAACTTTCCTGGTCCTAGAAACTCAGGCTTAGCCTACATCTGTTAATTTACATATTCTTGAAGCCAAAAATCTGATTCTAGTTCCCCAGTATCTAGCTCTAATAATTATCCAGGAATTTTTACCTGCTTTTTTCTAAATCTCTTCAGCTGTACCATCTGCTGTGTCTTCCTTCAGCCTCCCACAGAGCCCTGTAGACTCCTGTGAGGATCTCCTGGTCTTTTTCACTATAAATTCCACATTGCCCTCCCAACTGCTTATCACCCTCCCCCCATATACTTTAAATGACAGCCTATTAGTGTTTTTTAAAAATACATAAATCCAGTCATATTTATTTCAAGTGAGTTTTACTTTTCAGTGTGGGAGTAGATCATATCCGTTGCTAAAGGAAGAGTTTCCTAATCTAGGCATATTCTTGAAGATGTTCAAACTGCGTAGAAGTGTTTGGATTTTTGTTTCAAGGTATACAGTTATAAAATTGCCAAACTTATGTATTTGATTTATTTTAGTTCTTATTAGTCCTATGATAAATGTGAGACATTGGGGTTTTATTTTATTTTGGTATTGTTTGTTTTCTTAGTTTAAAGCCTCCATAAATCTAATGTGGAAGGGAGCTTTTTCACTGGTTCTCAGTGGGGCACTCGTAGCATTTTGGAAGACAGTTTTGATATATTGAAGGATATTTAGCAGCCCTGACACCCATGCATTAAAAGACAAATATAGTCCCCACATCATCACAATAACCAGAAAGACCTTGCATTCTTCCAGGGGGTAGTGCTGTGCCTGAGGAGAACCATTGAACTCTAAAGTTGATGAATAATGATTTTCTTCTTCTATCAGTGAGCACTTGGATAACCCCGTGACAGTGCCTACATTAGAGCTGATTTTAAGTGTTTGTCTTCGAGTGTATGATTTTATTTTTCAAATTCAGAAGGACAAACTGTTCCATCTCTATGATGATGAGTTATTATTAACAAAAGGCTGTCATTACTTGAGCATTGTCTCTTTTTTCCCCCATAGTGGGTTCGGTGTGCTGCAGTTATGCAGGTCATCACACAAATTGCCGAGAATACTGTCAAGCCATTTTCCGAACAGACTCTTCTCCTGGTCCATCTCAGATCAAAGCAGTGGAAAATTATTGTGCCTCTATTAGTCCACAATTAATACACTGTGTGAACAATTACACCCAGTCTTATCCAATGAGGAACCCAACAGATAGTAAGTAAAAGAGACATTCTTCTCATTTCAGTTTTTTGTAAAAAAAAAATTTATAAGAAGAAAGTGATGCATTGTTATAGATACTTGTAGTCTGAGTCACTTGGGAAACACCAGGCTTCCTCTGGTGTTTATATTTGGCAGATTGGACATTTTTGTCATAGCAGGTGCCAAGAAAGATGAGACTGTCCAAGGATATGAGGAAATGGGAGCTCTGTAGTGTAAGAGTGAGAGAGTTCTTTGGTATAGACATTGGGAGGAGGGTATTGAATAATGACCATTAGAATTCAAAATTATCATGTCTTTTGATCTGGTAACTGCTTTTCTCAGGATCTATCCAGCAAGAAAACATTCTCAAATTTGCAGAAATACATTGTACATATTCATGTGAAGGATGTACTGTATTGGTGTAATAGAGCCAAATTAGAAATAACCCAAACAGAGCTGGTGATTTAGCTCAGTGGCATCATGCCTGCCTCGCAAGCACAAAGTCCTGAGTTCCATCGCCAGTACAGGAAAAAAAAAAAGAACCCAAACATTCATCATTAGGATATTGATGAAATAAATTATGACATGACTACGTAGCATCGACACTTTAGAAACAACAAAAAGGTAATATATTTACATAAAAGTCCAAGATATATTAAGCAAAGCAAGTTACAGAACCAAAGTTATGGTATGATATATTTTTAGCCATATATCTAATTATTCTGTATTTCAATAATACTTGAATTTTTACCAAGAGCAGTTATTACTTTCATAATTTAAAAAATGAAAAAAGAGCTTTATTTTTTAAAAAATCAGGGCCTCATAATGAACCTGTACCTTACTGGAATCTTCAAAGCCTCATCTTTGCACATCTGTTTATTTCATATATTTTAGAGATAGATTTGAAAGAACTGAGTGATTAACCTGACAGAAGACTGGCTTCCAAGCCAGGTGCCAGTGTTTGACTTATTATACTGAGATATTGAGAGACTTGTTTTTATAAACCCAGAAGCAGTGGGCCTTGGCCATGATTGAAATCAGAACCCTGAGGCTTTTGACATTTTGTGATGTGACTGTGTGGTGAAAATCAGTGAATGAATGAAGCTTTGCCACAAGAATCTTTTCTTTAAAAGGAATCTCCATGTTCCCTGACAGAGGTGCTGTGGAGCTAAGGAGTTAATAGCTTTTAAAAAAGTGGGGGTTGGGGACAGTTTTTTTTAAAGTATAAAGCAACAACCATCTCTAATACCTATGCTAATACAGACAAATATGGAAAAGAAGGCTACAGCCTGAAAAGGTTTCTCCAAACTCAAATATACCAGAGAATACCTTAAAGGACTCCTTTTGAATTGTATGGTCTGGTTAAGTGTTCTTTCATTTTCTTCTTTTTTTGTAAAAATTAAAGGCAGAGGGCTGGGGTTATAGGTCAGTGGTTGAGCATGTGTTTATTAGTAGGTATGAGGCCCTAAGTTGAGTCCTGAGCATCAGAATGAAAAGAAAATTAAAGGCAGAAGCAAACATATCTTGGCAGTTTACTACTGTATTATTTAAATTATAACATATATTGATTAACTTACACAGGTATCTAAAAAGCTTTATTCTGTCTTGGAATATGATGTACAGTGTTTTTGTTGCTTAATTGATCATCTCTTCTGTATCAAGAGCATAATCCCTTTTAGACATTGGTCACTAGCAGTAAATAAGTCCACTTTGAGCTGTGTAGTAATACTTTTCTGAGAAAGTAAGATACCTTTTACATGAAGACTTCTCACATGTAAAGTGACTTTGTACTTTTGTAAGGATAATGCCACAGGGCCTGTGACTGGGGACAGGGTAAGTTCGGGTGACATATACTTTAGTTCCTCCACCTTATCCTCACCTATTTGCTGTACTGCAGGTAATGAAGAGAGTATTTAATAGACCCATATACTGCAGCTAGAGATACAAAGTGGCACTGATTTCCACTGTACTTCTGTGTTCTCTTCTGAGCGATGCATGATATAAAATTGCTACTTATATTCTGAAAATGTAGGTTTATATTGCTGTGACAGAGCTGAAGACCATGTGTGCCAAAATGCCTGCAAGAGAATTCTGACGTCTAAGAAAACAGAAATGGAGATTGTTGATGGTCTCATCGAGGGTTGTAAGACCCAACCCTTACCTCAGGATCCTCTTTGGCAGTGCTTTCTTGAAAGCTCACAGTCTGTTCACCCTGGAGTCACTGTACACCCTCCTCCTTCTACCGGCCTTGATGGGGCTAAATTGCATTGTTGTTCCAAAGCCAACACTTCAACTTGTAGGTTAGTATCTCATTTTCTTTTATTAAAATCATTAGAAAAGTAACGAGCTCTTCTCCCATGGTCCCAGGTTAGACCCTCTCTAGCCCTGCAGGGGTTGGGTGTGTGTGAAATGGGCCATTCATCCAGTGGAGTAAAGGTACACCCAGAGAATTACCCTCAATTGATGGGGTTGGCAGTAGCTAGGAAGTGGACTTATAGACATACCCTGAGTTGAACAGGTTTGCTTTTTAAACCATTGGTTGTAGATAATGAAAAGGTAGAGTTTGCCCTCTTCATGTCTGGTCTCCTTCCAAATAGTTGCACCCAAAAAAGCTATTTTGCCCCACTCCCCTTCCTTGCCCCACTAAACAGGGATTGGTTTATGTCCCACTCCTGACTCCATGTAAAATTTGTACAAAAATATCTTATATGAAAATGATTTGTAATCTGTAGACTTACTACCTGGGAGATGTCTTGAGATGTAAAATCCCATCCTTTAGGTTGTGGGTTTTTTGTTTTGTTTTCTCCAAATAAATCTGATGTTTAAAATTTAAAAAAAAAAAAGTAACATTTTAATTAATCGTTTTAAGCTTAGCAAATACGTTATATTCTTTCATTGTGTAGGCTTGGTGTATAGAAGATATAAAATCTTTGATTCTTTCTGGAGAAGAGCTGAGTGTACCTAGCATGCACAAATCCCTGGTTCAACCCCCAGAGCCATTTAAAAAATGTATTGTTAAAACTTTTAATTATTTTTTATCCAACAAATATTTACCGAGTGTGGTATATATACACAAAAGATTATTTTGTAATTGAGTGCTAAAAACACTGTTTTGGGATGTGAAGAATTAGCATTGGACAATAAATATTTAAAGATAATATTCTTCCTTCAAGGAGATCATTAGGTAAGCTTATAATTTAGAAGACATTTTTATCTGACATCTCAAGGGTATTCTATTTATTAAATTACAAAACTTAACCAACATTTTGTTATATTAGCAGATCACTTGGGTGGGCACTCATATCTAAAGTTAAATGTTGCTTTATTGTCATTCATTAGTCAGTTACACTTAAGGGTTAAAAAATAGAGGAGCCAGGCATCATGGCACCCACTTATAATCCTTGCACTCAGGATGCCACAGCAGGAGGCCAACCTGGGCTAGTAGTGAGGTCAAGGCCAGCCTGAACTACATAATGAGATCCTGCCTCAAAAAATAATACAAAACGTAATAAA